GCAACAAAATACCTTTCAGGCTGGGCTTCTGGCAGTGCTAAGCGAGCTGATTAAATCCAACAGGCCTTCAATAAAAAAATTAAGAAAAACTTGTCGTCGTTGATAAACTGTACAATGACTTGTTGGGAGGCGTGTTGTGCAGTGATCTGGTGCGTTGGTGTTCGGATCAGGGGAGCACAGGTTCAAACCCCACTGCAGTCAGCATGTCGTTGTGTCCCTGGGCAAGTCACTTCACCCCAAATTGCCTACACCTGGGACAGTTAATTTTGTATTATTGTGATTATATATATGCCACTGTTATTAATACTGACACTTCACTTTGCACTAAGGTGTGTCTGCTGCTGAGCCTACCTGTTGTTATTATATATATATATATATATATATATATATATATATATATATATATATATATATATATATATATATATTAGGGCTGTCAAGTTAACGCGTTAATAAAAAATTAACGCCACTAATTATTTTAACGCGATTAACGCATGTGTATTTTTTGTCCTCGGCCACCCCGTAGTTTCAGAGCGCATCGAGTTTAAAATACCATCTACAAGCTGATGCTGACAGCCCCGCTCCTGCCGCCCGCTTGTGGCAGAGCACACTTCCACGCTCACCGGCAGGCCCGGACTGGCCATCGGGAGGACCGGGAGGGTGTGTGTATGTGTGGCGCGAGCGAAGCACACCTTACGTGTTGTTGTTAGCATCTGGTGCTAGCTAGCTGCGCTAACGGATATAAGGAGCTGTTTCAATGAAAACAGAGGAGCGACATTTCGCCGACAACTGCGCCGAGCACTTGACTTTATGCAGGTAGCCAGACAGTGGGACATTGTACGAAAAGTCAGCACACTCAGTACGGATAGTGTGCGCAACATGATTGCAGCGTCCAGGCAGCTCCCGTTCGAGCATATATGCCTTGAGCCGCACATAGCTCCAACGATCCATCACAGTGTCTCCACACACACACACACACACACACACACACACACACACACACACACACACACACACACACACACACACAGTATTATTGTATGAGAGAGGTTCCAGGTTGAATCGAATATTTGTAATGTTCAGGTTGTTGTGTTTAATATTCATGAGAATATTTGTCATTGTTCAAATGATAATAAACAAACATATAAAGCATATTTGTCCACTCATATGTTGATAAGAGTATTAAAAACTTGAAAAATATCCCTCTAAGGTACATTTAGAACAGATAAAAAATGTGCGATTAATTTGCGATTAATCGCGATTAACTATGGACAATCATGCGATTAATCGCGATTAAATATTTTAATCGACTGACAGCCCTAATATATATATATATGTTTTGATACTACTGACACTTTATTTTATATTGAAAATGTTAACTTCTATTTACATGCATACGACACACCTGGGACAGCGTGATGCTGTTATTGATATTGTCTTGAGTGCAATAAAAGAGAACCTACATGGCGATTAAACAGAGCCTGTATCTTACATTTTTCATTACATTTCATGTAACTAAGCTTGCTTATTTCTCCTCTGACACTTTATCTTTACAGTGACCTGTGTAGCATCCTATACATCACATGTAAGTGATTATTCTGATACCATCATGTTTCATCGGTTATAAACTGGCGAAGCTTTATTTATTGTGGCTTTCAAAAAGATAATTTCATTGTATTTAAAAATGGCGTCCAACACAAGCACTATTTATTTATAGAAAGAGAAATGGTTAAGTTTGTTATTACCAGTGTTGTGAGTTCAATATTTTTAATTAATTATAGTAAGGGAACATCTTAGGAGTTAGTGTAGTGAGTTTCAGAGCAGTGTATTAATTATTTGACCTAAAACTAAATCTTTTTATGAACATGACATGGGGATTTGCTAACTTTTGATTTCCCTCATTTTACAAATGGAGGCCACTATGGGCCAAAACTAACACGTAGGTTTCTGTAGGGTTCATGGCAGACGGATGCAGTTGCTCTCAGGAGGATATATAATAAAGGTGTGTTAGCTGCTGAGCCTATTTAGTGTGCATACGACACACCTGGCACAGTTTATTCATTTCACACGTAGCGTAGCGCGTGCATGTCGTCGTCCAATCCTTTTGTCAATCCTTCTTAAAAGCCTTCCGAATCAGCATTGCTATTGCATTTGACTGGTCGACGATCTGTATTTGTGTTTGCTTAAAGGGCCCATGTCATGGCCATTTCCACTGATCATAATTACATTGTTGAGGTATACTAAAATAGATTTATACTGTGCAATTTTCCAAACTCACATTGGTTTCGCATACAGCATCTCTGTCAAGCATGTGTATTCAGCAGTATTCACTTTCTCCACTAAACGACTCGTTGGAGCTCTTGCCCCCCCCCTCCCTGTGAGCCTAGTGTGCTCCGATTGGTCAGCTCGGCCACTCGTTCTGATTAGTCAACCACCAGAGAGGCTGCACCCATGTCAGTGCTTTTCCCGGCTGCTCTCAGCGTAACATCAGTCTTATCATGGCGTCGGTACAGCGGTATATTTTATATACATATATATTTTTAACTGTTGTTATAGAAGAGTGTGACGGCCCCAGGGCCTTTGTCTTACGATGGGGTGGAGCTGAAGCGGCTAATCAGCACGATCACGGACACCTCCGGACACTACGGCCCCAGTCTCTCTCCAAAGCGGCTGCAGGAAGACTAACTCTGCGATCCTCTCAATCACCTGTCTCTGCATTTACCACAATAAATGTGCCGTGGTTTTGTAAACTCGTGTATGTCTCCTTGTCTTTCCGTTGTGGCCTACGAGCTACTCTCATAACAAAGAGTAAGTTATTTTTACCCGTTATAAACTACTACTGTTTGATGAGAAATCAAATCATGGTTTGCTATATATGAATTCAGGGAAGAAAGGATAGGCCTACTAAGTATTTCCATTAAACTTTATTTTTAGAAATGTACAAAATGAACATAAATATACATATATACACGGTATATCATCCATTCCTCCTCCTCTTGCCTGCGCACAGCCGGTGCGGTGCGGTGCCTTTTAGCACGAGGCCTCAGTAGTAGTAGAATCCCTTCCCCGTCATGGATTGTCCGCCAGGATCTGGCTGGACGAAATCAAATGCAAATCACAAAATATTAGAGAAACTTAGTTGTTTTAGATTCGTTAGTAGTAGTTGTGTAATGAACAGCTTGCCTGCTATTATGCTAACCTAGCTTTGTTTACCTTGGTAGCTAACACGATATGAACGTTAGCTTGGAGGAAAGGCAACTATAATGCAGTGTAATAAAACTACTATGAACAAAAGCTAGTGGTTCATATTAGGCTAGCAATAACGTGTTTATAATTGCAATCGTATACGGGTATTCTGCTACCATACAATGTAACTTGCATGAATACATTGTTTTGCGCTAGCATACAGCTAGCCTCGTTAGCTACATGCAGTATATGTACGGTCACAATGTACGGTAAACCGGAGTATACTGTATGAGTATTCCGTGTGTGTGACTGCAGACATTCTCCTGCCATGACAAACATGTAAGGCCATCTGCTGACATTGTAGTTGATATATTTAAACGCTAGCAACGTAGCATCACAAAAATGTTTTTCTGACCAAAACTAGTGCTCCGTGTGTTAGATCGCTACGCCAGCTATAATGTAATTACGTTTCGCGACTGACCGGCAAATCACCCGCAGTATACTGTCAATAGGTATTTTGTGTGTGAATGCAGACATTCTCCTGCTATGAGATACATGTATGCAAGGCCATCTGCTGATATTAGAGTTGATATATGGAAACTCTAGCAACTTAGTTAGCACAGTTAGCACTGTGTCAATGGCTTAGCAGTCCAACACAGTTTACACATTTAAACAGTCTTGTTTGATAAATACACAAATAACAATGCAAACTTACAGGTTGTATACCCAGATCTTCCCCTGCTCCAAACGGTCCAAACAAGCTGTGCATATCCGGCCTCAAACTGGGCAATGTTTTGGAAGCTTTCGTCTGTGAAATGCCGGTTCTTCGAACCTCTGGAGGAGGAACACGCCGCTGCTGGTGTGGCCATAGCTCTTCGGGATTGGTCCATTTCGTTCCGGGTACCGCATGACATCAGGCGGTACCCGGAACTAAATGGAAGACTCAAATGGGCAGTGACGTATCTCCAACGAGGCCTTTTGGGGAGGTATTTTCTGTGTTAGAGTTTTACTCGCTACAGGGTGTACTTTGAGGGTTTTGACTCTGCACACCGTTTACATGCATAAAAACCTTCATAACACACAAGGGGACGGGTAATAACCGGAAAAGCATGACATGGGAGCTTTAAATAACGCAGACGAAGCTCATATCTGAGGTAGGAAGGTAAACAGACGCCTCATTTACAGCAAGTGGGCGCGGGAGGTTTTTCTTCTTCTTTTTCTCTCGGTTTTTTGGCGGATTGCAACTTTAAGGTGCATACCGCCACCTACTGTACTCGCCGTGAAGTTGTTTGCGGCCTGCCAGTAAACCCAAAGCAGAAGAAGAAGAAGTGACGTCAGCGGTTCATTTGCCTAATCCACCCCCAGGAACTCATTTTGGTGTGAATGCGATCTGCTTTAGTTCATCAGAACTAAAAGAGTTCACAGGAACAGGAAGACTCAGAGATCAGCAATTCATTTATATTAAATCACACACTTTACTTTAACTATTCAGGTTTATTTAACAGTTTAAACATGTTTTGTGGTGAAAAGACCTGCCTTTATTTCGCTGCCACTGCTTTTATAATTTACTAAATCTCCACTTTTATTGTGCAAAATATCTTTAAGAATCAACAAATATTCCACTCTTATTAATACAAAATGTGAGCATAAAATAAAAGTTTGTTGTTTTTGTTTGTCCGTGTAAATTGCCAAAATGTAAGTTTATGTAAGATGTACAAATGTATTTTATTTGTGTATGTACATGTACTGATGTAACATTTTGATATTAGCTTACGGCCATGTTAACTTCCAAATATGTTTTTAATGTCCTGTGAGAGATAATGTTTAATTTCAATGTGATCTAATTGATTAAATTATGTTTTGAACCCAAAACCAGATAAGTTAGTTTTGTTGACTGAAAACACGTTGACATGATTTCTGTTCAAATAAACACAGTTTTTTTCTTTCAGTCTACAGTCTTGTTTCTCTCTGAGGCTCACAGCCGTCCTTTGAGCTATAAGCCAAAGTTAGCATGCTAACAATCTAGCAGGTATCTACCACGTTCAAACCTCACAAGTCTTTTATATGTTATAAGTTACTTGTTTCTATAAATCCTCCTGAAGGCCTCTTTACAGATGCATTCATTTATTTATACAGACATGTCTGAGAAGCTGAAAGTATCTGGAGTCTAAAATTAAAATAAAAAAACAACATACAATCAGCTCGCCTTTTAAAATAAATGCATGCGTCAGTCAGTATCTCTGTGGTTTTTAACTTTGTCTTGAGTGTGAGAAAGTCTAGCAGCTGCTGCTCGTACCATCATGTGACACAGAGAAGTTACACACCTCACACACAACCTGAGCAGAAGAAGAGATACAATGCTGAAGAAAGTGATAATGTCCTCAGATCGTGGTGTTCATTGTCTTGATGACCAAACTATCTCTAACCTTTGTACATGAGTTATTTCTGTGTGACCCTGAGTTTCCCACAATGCAGCAGTCCCACCAGCAGCAGCAGCAGAGCCACCATCACTACGGTGAACACAGTCCTTAAGACGAGGAGGACGTGAAGGGAGTGATCCAAGGAGGGACACGTCTCTCTGTGAACAGCTGCAAACACAACACAACGTGAATATACTATAATATAAAACTCCACATATATTCTCCAAATGTTAGCTTTCATGCAATATCTCACCTCTGACAGCCAGCCAAGCTTCTGGTGATTCTCCACCGTCAGGGATGCTGCACTTGTAGAGTCCTTCTTCAGATTTAGAGACTCTTTGGATGGTGATGTTTCCTGTTGAGCTGCTCCTGATGAGGCGGCCATCTTTATAGAAGTCAGCTGACAGGATGGAGGAAGTGGTCGTCTTGTTTCTGCAGCTCAGTGTCACTGCGCTGCCCTCTCTCACAGGGAGGACGGGACTCTCCAGGATCACAGAGCCACCTGAACAACATGGAGAAAACATGTGAGGTATTTACGAAAATTGGAGAGAGGACAGAGATGACATCCTGAAATACTGTGTATGTAAAGTTAGATACATGCCTCCCTATTAGAAAGAAAACACAATGACAAGTTAATCAGAAACTAAAATGTCATGTAAAGTAGTGTTTGCACAGAGGTGAATATTAATCACAGCGCTGCCCTCTCTCACAGGCAGGACAGGACTATCCAGATAATAACTCAGAAACTCCCTTGTTTTAGTGATAAACGTGATGGCTCACTTTATGGGTGCTCGATCTGTTTAAATCTCTTCTTTTAGCTCTCTCATTGTCTTGTGTACTTTTCTGAAGATAATTAAGTACATTTCATGCAATGTACTTATGAAGCCTTTAACCCACCATTGACAGAGATGGTGACACTGTGGCTCCTTTCTCCTCCGTCAGCCTCACACCAGTAATCTCCACTATCTCCACTATAGGCTCTTTTAATGGTGCAGTATAGTACGGGGGTCCTCTCACTACAACTGGAAATAAACTCCCCAGCATCCCTGATCCCTCTCAGCTGAGTGGAGCCGTCGAGACCCTCGCAGTGAAAGGAGACTGACTCCTGTTCAAAGAGCTGCAGTCGGGTTGGAACGATACGGAAAGCTGCTTCTGATTGAAAAACAAATATAAAAACTCACTGGAAAAGTCTGACATAAATCACGTTATCAATACAATTGCAGCCCACACTGACTTTCCCTCTCAATGTGCACAGTTAGAGTAAAAAGTCCTGCTTACCGTTGTTCTGAACATGTACAACGAGGATAATGAGCATCACTGAACAGACCAAGGAAGAAAACTGAGTATTAACCATTATCTCTTTTATTAATTAGTCTATAAACAGGAAAATATCAAACTCACACGGTGTGAAGCAGAGAGCTATGACCTCCATGTTGACTTCCTGCTCAATGACTGAGCATCAGAATTAAATACATGCATGTAGATGAACACCTCCTCTTCCTGTTCAGCTTATTTCTGAGCACACACGTGACACTGTGTGTTTCTGCTCAGTGCTGTGAGGCTGACCTGAAAGTATTCATGACTTCCAGTGTTTCAATGGTTTTACTGTGTTCTGTTGAATGGGTTGAATAAAAACTGCAATAAGACTTCTGGTGTTTTACTCCACCTTTATCATAGCACAGAGATCAAGGTTGCTTGTCTATATTATGGTTTTGTCTATGGACAGTATAGGCCTTACTTTAGCAAAAAAAGGATGTCAAAAAATATGTTATCAAGGTTGGCAGGCGGGCATGTAATAATAAAACCGCATAAACATGTACAATTAAAACTGCACGCAGTGTTGAACGGGCCTTCGCATCCTTCACCAGTCGGCGGGCTCGCCAGTTGCCGTGGCGTTACATTTCCCAGCTCGGGCGGGCGGTGGTATGACTCAAGCCTCCCATATATGACCGGAGGGCCTCAGGTCCGGACTCTCGTCAGGCATATCAAGTTTGGAGCAGATCAGACAATGTTTGGTTGACACATATAAATCCTCAACATGGTGTGTTCTCCCTTGACCTACTAATTCATCGTACGAGCTATTGACTATTCCTTTGCAAGATAACATCACATGTGATATTTGGGTATTCTGTCGAGAATTGACATTGTTCTGAGTTTGTAAAAGTTTGCTAAAAAAGTTTTTTTCCAAAATGGCCGACTGCAGGGTGGGCAGGACCAATGTAACCCTATTTGAAATATGTTTGCAATCGTAAGAGCAATGTGTTTACCAAGTTTTGTGAATATTAGACAAACCGAGTAGTTTTGGGTAATTTGTCACATAAATCGTCAAATATTGTACGTTATCCCTTCACCTACGAGCTCCCCATTTCAGCTATCAACTATTCCTTTGCAATTAAGCATCACATTGGATATACACTTAACCCAGTCTGAATTAGAATTTCTTCAAACTCCCTATACTAGGAGAAGTTTGTAAAATATTGCTAAAAACGCAGGTAAAACGCATATATTTCACAATGACCGACATCCGGTTGGTGGGGCTGGTTAAAGACAACTTGAAATATGTTCACAATAATAACAGCAATGTGTATGCCAAATCTGATGAGTATTAGAGAATCTATATGCAAGTAGCTTTGAATAGTTTGACACATATAAATCATCAAAAACGATTTGTTTTCCTTGAGCCTAAGGCCGAGCTATTTTTGCTATCGACTATTCCTTCTCAATTTACAATTTTCCAAATGGCCAACTTCCTGAGGGGCGGGGCTAAAGAAAGCCAATGAGTAATATGTCCGCAATGACATGAGCAATGTGCATGCAAAATGTTGTGCATATCGGAGAAACTCTATGTGACTACCACACATTAGGGGGCGCTACTGAACTATTTTCACCAAACATTCAGAATTGTTTGTACATTCTCCAGAAGGTCATGGATTGTGACATGTGTACCAAGTTTCTGGACAGTCACCCATTCCAAATTGAACAAACTAATTTAATGCATCATAAGCCACGCCCAAATTCCTCAAACTTTATGACCTGGCAGAATACAGTAAATGCTCGACCTGAGAGTAAACGTGTCAAATTTTGTAAAATTTGGTCCATCCGTTTTTGAGTAATACATTTGTAGTGTTTTTGGCGCCCCCTATGGTCCATAATTGAAAATGCTTTGTTTTGCCTATTTTCCAAGAAAGACTGAACATATCCACTAAAATTTGTGATAATTGGATAAATTGTTGATGAGTTATGAGCATTTATTTCCAGGCCCCGCCTTTTTGCGAAGACGTTTTGATTAACGGCCGCCATGTTTTCCGACTGACCTTGCTATTTTTTCATGGAAACATGTCTGACCCTCCGCAGATGCTGTATACCACATTTGGTGTTGATAAACTCAAAATTCTAAATTAAAGTAAATATGTTTCTGTTTTTTTGTAGAGCAGGCCCAGCCGGATATGTGTGCAAAATGTCAGGTCAATCGGACTAAGGGTGCGCGCTTGGTACGTTTTCATAAATTTGATTTTCATAGGTGGCGCTAGCGAGCAAGGTGGCAACTGTTGACCTATTCACTGCAGAACGTCTGTGTCAAATTATAGACTGATCAAACCATGGGAAGGGCCTCAAAAATGCATTCTCGTGTGAGAAGAATAATAATATGAATAATAATAATCTCTTCAATAACAATAGGTTTCCTCTCACGCTGGTGCTCTGGCCCTAATTAAGCTGTTTGATTTCAGTCAGTGTGGACCTGAGAAACAAGTCCTGCTCTGCCCCCTGCAGCAAGAAAACTGATATTACACCTGCCTCATAAACACTCCTCTTCTACAAAGTTGACAAGGAATCAAAGAACCATGTTTATAAGTTACCTGGCAACAGGCTCAAAGTCCAGAATCTGAAAATGTTAATCATTAGTGAATTATTGAGGTCAAAGCTTTTCAGACATCTGGAAACAGGTACGGCAGCTTGTGAATTTCTTTTGTTACACATGTTTTAACTTATATTTTAGAAAAACAGACCTCAAGAATAGTTTGTAGAAGATACAAAATGTCTTTTAATAGCCTTTGTGTTGGTTCAAATGTTTTATACACATATAAATGTCATTCAGTTCTGATCTGGGAGCGGTGTCCTTAAATGCAAAACTGAAACGCCGACCTCAATGTACAGGGTATGACAAAGAAAATCCATCTATGTTTGACACAAAAACAGATTTAACAAACAGATACATAGAGAAATACTATTTATAATTATTATAAGGTCTAAGTCTAACCCGATGCAGTTTTAAAACATGCACTTCAGAATTGCACTACTGTGTTTGTTCTGATTTGTTTAGTCTTATTTTTATTGTGTTGCATATTTAACTAATCTACAACTGCATTTCCACTGCCTTTCAGACTGATGAATCACAAAGATACCTTTATTTTTGAAGGAGCACCGACAAGGTTTTTACATGTTCACCCATCTCTTGACTTTGACCCATACTAGGTACTAAAATATAGGATGAACATTTAAATCATGTTTGTATACACTGTATGTACTGGTTTATTTTCAGAGCTGCAGGATGCTTCTCCAGACTGACAGACTGTCCTCTCAGTTTCCACTCAGACCTCTCAGTGTTTTGGTTTTCTATCTGCTCCTCACACACTCCTGTAGAGGTAACACACACACCAATACAGTCATGAACTCACATGAGACTTTTGGATTGAATGCTGATGATATGGGCATTGATATATTTTATTAAATGTTAAGATTGCTATTGAGTAAGTTTCTTAAATGCAGGCGCCAACCCCAGGTCTGAAAAGTTAATAAAATATCCAGCAGGGGGCTGATCTGTTTTTAAAAAGAAGTCAGATTGTATAGGAGTGTATGAGAGGATGAGCATACTGCAACCTGATTTATTACCTCAGTGAACATTTTCAAGTTTTCTACAATACAGCATGATATAGATTTTTTTAATTATGGTTCAATAAAGAGTAAAATACACATAAAGGCAAGGTCATACGTGTGAATAAAGGCGAATGACATTCAGCTTTGATAAGATTTGAACTCTGAGTGAAGCAAAGATACAAATGTACTTGGCCACCTAAAGTGAATGTGTTTTCATACCGTTTGCTTGCATAGGAAAGTGAACAGGATGCGATAAAGTTGGGGTGCTTTAATGCAATAGTAACAATTCTGATTGCATATAAGTCTTTTAAAATATGAGCCTATTTCTCACTTGATTCATTACCTCGGTGAACATTTTCCTAATGACTTTATTGTCTGAAATGATAGTTTTAGGTTGTTCTTTAATCAGCATAATGTTCATTTGGTTTATGATGGTCAGTAAAATAGACGGAAAAGCAGGCTATGCTTCTGGGCTTCCTTGTGATTGAAAGGTCTCTACCACAGCATTATATGATTGTATAGTTCTAAAAGCTACAAACTGCTTTAGTGACAGTTAAAAATGGTGGCATTCATGTTTTAAACTGTACAAGGTCTCTTTTTAATAAATTGAATAAATAAGCAAAGTTTATCTCTCCTTATATATATATCGTATCAATGATTAAGCCTGTCCCATAATAATAAATGCAGTTTTTGGGGCTTTAAGAGATGATTTTGCACTCAGTCTCTCAAGGTGTAACAACACAGCCAGTCCTAAAGTACATCTTATTGTTTAATAACTATAACAGGGTTTTTTTTGTGCATGAAGTTATTGTGTATTGTTAAATGCAGATCGTTGTAGTTGTAATTTATCATAAATTATAATTTTTTGCCAATACAGCATGATGTTCATTTAGTAAACTATGGTCCCACTCAAGTTAAAAAGACGATTAAGCAGGATACGCTTTAGTAAAGCTCACCAATAGGGTCTTAACCTTTATCTCAACAGCTTTGAGCAATACTTTTTAAATGTTATAAATAAACAAAACTTTATTAAAACACATCCATTTCTCTCCAGGTCAGTCTCAGTTAATCGGTCCTCCTCAGCCTATAGTGGCAACACTTGGACATGATGTGATTTTGCCGTGTCACCTGGAGCCTGAGATGGATGTTACTGCAGACACGTTGGAGTGGACGAGATCCGACTTAAACCCAATATATGTCAACGTGTTGCGTGCTGGTCAGGACCTCCAAAAGACCAGAAATCCTTCCTACAAAGGGAGAACCTCGCTGTTCAGAGATGAGCTGAAGCATGGGAACATTTCACTGAAACTCTCCAAAGTACAACTCTCTGATCTGGGAACGTATAAATGTGATATTCCTCTAAAGCATAAACAATCATCTGTTAAGCTAGTTTTTGGTAAGTACCCTCAGAGTTTGTGTTCATGGTGGAGTTTGGTGTATGCTTTGTCAAGGATGCAGTATTTATCTTTTAGAACCTTTAGAAAGACCTAACGGCAACCAGTCGGTGTTAGTCATGGTTACCAACATTTCAGTATTTCAATATTTGTACGATGATTATTTGCAAAACTGAATTTATTTAGAAAGCTTATTGGCAACATGAATGTCAGGTACTTGATTTCTATGGTTTTAAACTACTCAGTACAGGGGTCATAAACCAGTTTCATTTCAAAATACATTTCAAATAAAGTATTAAGAATTAAGTGGTTACCTAAGAGAGGCAACTGAAGACTTTGAAGGTGAGTAATATAGAAAAACATTTAATTAATAAAAACATCACGCTATATAATCATAATGTAAAGCTATAAAAAAGCAGAGAGCTTTTAAACATGTACATAATTCAACAAATGCATTTATGCAGGAATGTTAGTTATTAGCCTTGCACACATTTCAATTAGCAAATTTTTTTATTATTAATTATTGTGCAAAGTGTCAGTATTTTGCTCCCACTGACACTCCTGTTATAAACATTTCTCTTATGTTCAGCATCCAGTCCTTCCTCTCCGCCTGTCATCAGTTTATCAGGGCTGGACGGTCAGAGCGGAGGAGTGGTGTTGCAGTGTGAGTCTGCAGGCTGGTATCCGGAGCCTGAGGTGTTGTGGCTGGACGCTGAGGGGAAGCTCCTCTCTGCTGGACCTCCAGAGACAGTCAGAGGTCCTGATGACCTCTATACTGTCAGCAGCAGAGTGACTGTGGAGAAGAGACCCAGCAGCAGCTTCACCTGCAGAGTCCAGCACCACAACACCACCCGCACCACACAGACGCACTTCCATGTTCCAGGTAGACTAAATGTTCCTTTAACATGTTTTAGTTTTGAATATCTGAGGTCTATTTTTACATAAATGCTGCGATGTCCTGTGTTTTATCATTTCAGATGATTTCTTTAAGCTCCAGTCCTGTCATTATTGGTCTGGCCGTCAGTTTGGCTGTTTGCATTCTGTTGATTTCCTTTTTTGTGTGGAAGTGGAGACAAAACATATACAGTGAGTCACTAATGAATTGCAGTGCTTTGTGAAGGTCTACTTATACTCATGTGTGAGGTTCTTTTTTCATATACCAGCAATTCATTTCCCCCGTCAAAGAATAGAGGACCACAGGACAGATTTTAGATCATTTATTATAATGAATAAATTACAATTAAAATACTAAAATAGATCTATTTATAAAATGGTTAAAAACAACAAGGTAATGATAAAAGGTAATAAAACACTAGTTAAAATAGCTAAAATAACACTTCAAGGTAAAACTGGTTGGAATCAAGACCAAGCAGAATGTTGTCTTTTAAAACTGTCAATTACATTTCATTTAGCTGACGTTTTTATCCAAAGCGACTTACAATGACCAATTACAGGGACATTCTCCCTGGAGTAACTAAGGACTAAGTGCCTTACTCAAGGGCACACTAGTGGTGTTGTTCCAGGCGGGAATTGAACTCACAACCTTCCGATCTTCAGCCCACCTCACTATCCATTAGAACACCACTATCCCAATAGGCGCTTTCACACTTTTTATATACTTTAAAACTTTTCCCAGGAATAGTTCAGATAGTTCTTGGGATTTTGTGTTCACACCAAAAAGATCTGGAACTTGAACCTAGTTTTTGCGAAGCTTTTCACCCCCAGATAGTCCCTGCTAGAGAGCAGGGACTTTCCCGGGGAGAAAAAGTTGGTTTGTCCAGTCAGACGCATTCGTTTCCAATCATGCGAATCCCAGGTAAAAACAAACCAGATTCACAGGTAAAATAATGCAATTATCACTCCATTAAAAACCACACAGCACAAGTAAAACCATGCAATGATTATTATAAAATCACACCTTAGAAGTCAATAAAATATATACATGTTGATTAAAACCAAACTTGAATAAATAATTAAAACATGCACATTTTGGGATTTCAGGCAAATATAAGTGAATTTTACACTATACTCCGACAGTCACATGGTTTATGGTTTTGCAATGAATTGTGTTCATTACAGTTATGATGGTCAAAATATCAGTATTTTATAGGTCATGGTGTTAATAAACCATATGGTGGTTTGTTTTAAATTAATAGCCAAATATACAGTACAATATAGCTAATTATTGAATGAAATGTCTCTTACACTATAATGCCTCATTATAGTTCAACTAAATGTCAACTTTATTTCACACAGGAAAGCTTTTGCATGAAGTTGATAGAGGAGAAAAGAAGAACCGCTTTAAAGCTGAAGATCAGTGTGTCACTGAAGAAGAAAGAGGACAGCTGATGACAGCTCACACTGTGTATATGGAGGTTTTGAAGGGAGATTTGGAAAAGAAGAGTGAAAAGGTAAGAATTGAAACTGGACACTAATTTTGGTCTATTCACCCTTATAATACATCAACATCTGTTAAAGTTTCTTAATATTGTTGTCCAAATTATAGACAGGACTAAGTTACAGTGCAGGTCCAAGTGGAGACCAAATCAAGACAGTCTTTTTTTTAAATATTAAATGTGAATGAATTCATATGTTTTCTCTCTGAATCTTCTTGCTGTTCTTTCAGGTTAAAACAAAGAAAAACGAGCTGCCGAATCTCCTTAATGAGAAACAGAAGTCCGAGTTTGAGCTACAGTCCCTGAAAGATGAGCTGGAGAGCAAAAACACAAAGGTTCCTTCATGTCTAGATCTTGAATCTGATTTTTTTTATTGAAATCACAAAAATGATTATAACTTGCAATTATCACATTATGTAATGTACTACTCATGTTCTTCTCCTCTCACAGCTGGAGAAATTACAGACCTCATTTGGCAGCTTACAAAGTCATCATCCTGTAAGTGGGCATGATTTAAGCACATTATGTATTATATTTATATATTATAATATGCTGTATATGATATACAAGAGTTCCTCAATTACAAACGATCAAACAGCCACAAGCCTGAAATCATGCTACACAGGAACATTTTTCAATGATATGCAGAATTTCTTTTTGTATTAAGAGCTGAGCTTTCTCATTTGATATTTAGAAAAATCTGATGCTTAGATTTTTTGAAAGAGGGTTCCTTCTACAATAAAAATCACATTTCTTAATAATGATCCAGTCTCGCAAAACTGGAGAACAGAAGGAAAAGAAAGCTGAGCAGAAAGTGAAGACACTGAAAAAGAAGCTCGATGCTCAACAGGAGGAAACAGACACCAAAATAAAAGAGGTTTGTAATTTATTTATTTTAAAACTGTTTTCAGGCACAATCTTCTTTGTTTTATATATTTACGTAATGTTTTGCGGAGGTGTTTGTAGCAGACTATAATAATTTCTGTTTTAACCATGTCAACATCAAAAATACAAGTTTTTAAGTCTTTAAAAGGAGATATCCTGCTGATGTTCAGGTTGATATTAGTATTTAAGGTGGGGTAGGTAAGTTTGAGAAACCGGCTCGAGATACACTTGTTATATTTCATGGAATGCTCTTAACATCCCGATAGCAATGAATATCTGAAGTGCTTTGACAAAAAATCCATTAAAAAATTTGATCTGTGGAAGCTGTAGTACTGTAAAAAGTACGACTAATCCAGTAATCCAGCCGGCCCGGCTAAAATAACTGGATGGCCTACCTGCCTGTCAGCCTTCCATCTGTGCACAAACTTATCTTGTGCCCTCATTGGTCATGTGCGCGTTCGTGTGTGTTGGAGGAGGGGCTCTGTAAGGAAGTAGCAGATTTCTTCCGGCTGTGTATTTTCAAATTCTAGCGCACTCGAGCTGGTTTCTCCAAAATTACCTACCCCACCTTTAAGTGCCTCTATTGAGACATGTCTCCATGTTTTAAGGCTCTGTTGTGATTGGTCAACCGCTTAGAGATGTCCCGCCCTTTAGCCTATCACGTACAATGTGTCGGAGCGCTAGCCCAAGGGAGTGCGAGTGTTACATACTGGGAGAGAAACTCCCTCTGGAGGGAACACATGGATTTAAAGTAACTAATTGAAAGTACATTTACTCAAGTACTGTACTTAAGTATAATTTTGAGGTACTTGTACTTTACTTGAATATTTCCATGTTATGCTACTCTATACTAGCAGGAGAGGAATCTTTAAAGTAGAGACACTACATACTGATATACACCTGAACATCAGCAGGAGAGGACTCTTTAAAGTAGAGACACTACATACTGATATACACCTGAACATTAGCAGGAGAGGACTCTTTAAAGTAGAGACACTACATACTGATATACACCTGAACATCAAGCAGGAGAGGACTCTTTAAAGTAGAGACACTACATACTGATATACACCTGAACATCAGCAGGAGAGGACTCTTTAAAGTAGAGACACTACATACTGATATACACCTGAACATCAAGCAGGAGAGGACTCTTTAAAGTAGAGACACTACATACTGATATACACCTGAACATCAGCAGGAGAGGACTCTTTAAAGTAGAGACACTACATACTGATATAAACCTGAACATCAAGCAGGAGAGGACTCTTTAAAGTAGAGACACTACATACTGATATACACCTGAACATCAGCAGGAGAGGACTCTTTAAAGTAGAGACACTACATACTGATATACACCTGAACATCAGCAGGAGAGGACTCTTTAAAGTAGAGACACTACATACTGATATACACCTGAACATCAAGCAGGAGAGGACTCTTTAAAGTAGAGACACTACATACTGATATACACCTGAACATCAAGCAGGAGAGGACTCTTTAAAGTAGAGACACTACATACTGATATACACCTGAACATCAGCAGGAGAGGACTCTTTAAAGTAGAGACACTACATACTGATATACACCTGAACATCAGCAGCAGAGGATTCTTTAAAGTAGAGACACTACATACTGATATACACCTGAACATCAAGCAGGAGAGGACTCTTTAAAGTAGAGACACTACATACTGATATACACCTGAACATCAGCAGGAGAGGACTCTTTAAAGTAGAGACACTACATACTGATATACACCTGAACATCAGCAGGAGAGGACTCTTTAAAGTACAGACACTACATACTGATATACACCTGAACATCAGCAGCAGAGGATTCTTTAAAGTAGAGACACTACATACTGATATACACCTGAACATCAGCAGGAGAGGACTCTTTAAAGTAGAGACACTACATACTGATATACACCTGAACATCAGCAGGAGAGGACTCTTTAAAGTACAGACACTACATACTGATATACACCTGAACATCAGCAGCAGAGGATTCTTTAAAGTAGAGACACTACATACTGATATACACCTGAACATCAGCAGGAGAGGACTCTTTAAAGTAGAGACACTACATACTGATATACACCTGAACATCAGCAGGAGAGGACTCTTTAAAGTACAGACACTACATACTGATATACACCTGAACATCAGCAGCAGAGGATTCTTTAAAGTAGAGACACTACATACTGATATACACCTGAACATCAGCAGCAGAGGACTCTTTAAAGTAGAGACACTACATACTGATATAGACCTGAAACCATATCTAAATATAAGAGTCTGTCAAATAAACCCCACAATGTTCAACTTTGTTTTCTCATTAAACAAAAGTACAGGTTTAAAGTCCTTAAATAACACAAATGTCCCCCAGTGTAAGGAATAACAGTGATAGGAATATATTGTGACGAAGTGAACACTGACCTGAGTTCTGGGGGTCTCTTTGTTCTCCTCCATGCTGCTCTCAGTGCTCCTTCTCCTGCTGGGTCTCTGAAATAAGTATTAACACTGCAGTCAACACAAAACCAATCTACAGCTAAGAAGTAGCTTAACAGCAGAGGTGGGAAGAACATTTACTCAAGTACTGTACTTAAAGGTAGGGTAGGTAAGAATGGAGAAACCAGCTCGAGTGCGCTAGAATTTGAAAGTACACAGCCGGAAAAAATATGCCCCTTCCTTCAGACTTCCTTACAGAGCCCCTCCTCCAACACACACGAACGCGCACATGACCAATGAGGGGACGAGATAAGTTTGTGCACAGATGGAAGGCTGACAGGCAGGTAGGCCATCCAGTTATTTTAGCCGGGCCGGCTCAGATGATTGGTCGTGCTTTTTACAGTACTACGGCTGTAAAAAGATCTGAGTTGTTTAACTCAAGTACAAGATCTGAGTTGTTCTACTTTAACTCAAGCACAAGATCTGAGTACTTCTACTTTAACTGAATACTAAAAATGTAACTTATGGATTCTTTTTTTATATATTTTACCTAAAGGAATCCTAAATAAGTTAATGGAATAGGTCCCAGTACAGAACCTTGCAGGACACCATGACTTCTTTTTGTTTACATATTCCATGATGTAAATGTGTTGACCCTGCCCTAATATATCAAATCCAATTATATTAAAGTTGGTCTCTCTTTTTCTTTTACTCCCAGTTTGAACGCAAGAAAGCTGAAGTCCAGCAGCTCCAGGAGGACATTCAGAGGATAAAGGCCAACCTGCAGATTACGACGGAGGATCTGGAGTCCAACTTTGCTGTATCTATTGAGATATCTGTTCTAATTTAATGAAAAGAAACCATTGTCTCTGTGTTAACGTTTTGAGCGTCCTGGTTTGTGGGAGAGAAACTCCCTTTTGAGGGAACATAGGGATTTTAGCCTTTGCATTGCATTACATGTCATGTTAGACGCTTTTACCCAAAGTGACTTATACATTCAATACTGTGGAGCAATTTGGCGTAAAGTGTCTTGCCCAGGGACCCAACGACATGCTGACTGCAGTGGGATTTGAATCAGTGCTTCCTTGATCCAAAGATCAACGCACTGAGCCACAGCCTCCCTTTGCAGACTATTTACATGCACACAAATAGAACACACTACAGGAGAGGGAAAACCCCAAAAAGCAGAATAATAGTTTTGAAAAAAATCTAATATAATTAGGTCTCTTTCTCCCTTTCTACACAGTTGAAAAGAAGCCAAGCAGGTCAAGCCAGTGTTTCTAAGTCTTCTTCAGTAAGTTGTCACGTTGTGGAATTTATCAACTTTATGGTTTTCTAACATCAACCAACTTTCCAAAGGTGCACATTTGACTTTATTGAGAGTAATTCTTTTTTTGTACTGGTTCTGTTGTGGAACTGTTCTTAAATGTACTTGGAGAATGTGAAAAATGTCTTTCATTGTCTCTCCTCCCTTTTTTAGATAAGACGGATGATGGTTTCCGGACGGAAGTTTGAGGAGGAGCAGCAGAGGAGGGAGGAAGCTGAGAAAGAAGTTCACGTCCTAAAGGAGAAGCTGCTGCATAACAACATAGAGGTGTGTGTTGTTTTCTCTTCTGAAAGTAATTCACAGTGACCTTACTCCTGCTTGCGATCAATAAGAGGTACTGTGACTAATGAACCAAATCATCAGTTCAAATGAAATGAGGAAAAGTAACAGCTGAATGTATATTTATTTATCATTTATTAAGACTAATGAACAGCTGAAGGAGGCACAGGGTCAGGAGAAAGATACACATATACTGTTGAAGCAAATGTATCAATAAAATACACAAACACACTTATTTTTATAGTATTCAAGTTTTCTCTCTTTCTCTCTGCCGGTTATTCCTCACTATTCTACTCTGACTAACAAAGACAGCTCTGTGACTTATCTCGGTCTGAAAGTCCAGCTATAAAGAGTTTATCTGGAGGTCTCTCTTCTTCTGTCTGTGTCTCCTCTCAGGTGGAGAGACTACAGGCTGATCTGCAGAGACTCACAGAGGAGAAGAGGAGGAGGGAAGAGGAGCTGAAGGAGGAGACTCAAGAGGTTCATCTTTTATTGATGATTTTACTTTCCACCTATTAGTTTGTTAAAGTTTAAATCTCATGAACTTGATACTTGGTGTTTGTTATGTTGTGTCACATATAGACACCTCCCCCAGTAAGAAACATGTCCGTCATCTTGTCTGGAAACCAAGCAAGAGTAAAGAAGCTCCTGAAACACGTCTTCAGTCCAAAATGAAGTCAATAATACAGTTTCATATTCATGTGTTTTTGAGCAGAGTCTGTGATCAAGGAGAACATCAAGCAGATTTTTGGCATTAAAAATATGATGCAGATCAGGAACTAGCTTTCATCAGGACCAGGATTTTATGTTCACTAAAGAATGTTCAAATGTCTCTATCTCTCTTTACAACCCAGTGACTGAAGAAGCTCCAGGAGGAGAAGAGAGGCAGAGAGGAAGCTGAGAATGAACTGAAGGACCCAAAGGAAGAGGTGGAGAGCAGGAAAAAACCATGAGACAAGTTACCACATTATAAACAATATAAACGTTAAACATCAGCATGACTCAGATTGATGCTCAGTGAAGAGAATCACACATTTTAACGTTATTATTTTGGTCTATTCAACAATTGAAAGCGTCTTTTGTTTAAATGGTGTGAACAGCCTTTGTTTTATATAATTTAAGAAAACATCTCAAACATTGAGCTTTTATAAAGACAAAAGGTGAGCTAATGCAAGTTAGCAATATAAAAGTTTTTGGTTTCTCAGTAACTTTTATTTGTTTATGTTTGCTAGATTTATAATGTATATTTGATCTTAACATATTTGTTTTTCTATTTTTTTTATTCTGTCATAATCTTACCGACTACTGAATTTTCTGTAATGAACAGATTCAACTGTGTTTTATTTTGAAAATCATTGGTGATCATTTACAGTTCTGATGGTTTTTGCTTTGGATGCATCAACTTCCAAATATGTTTTATATATATACTGTATATATATATATATGAGAAATAACTTTCAATGTATGTGGTAGAGTTGTATGTGTACATTTTAATTATGTTTTTTCAAAATCATTTGACAACATTTTTTGTTCACTAGAACCACTTTTTTTAAGTTTAAAGACAAGTCTGTCGTCTGTCATGTAAGATTAATAATTATTATCAAATTATTAAACTCCATTAAGATGTTGCTGATCATTCTCTGTAGCTTGTTCACTACCAGAAATACAACATATTGTCCTTTAATAAATTCATATGTTTTAAATAAATGTATAGATTAGAGCAGTATGTCGCACATTTCTGAACAATTTGTTACTCATTCATTACTAAGAATTTAAAATGTATTAAAAGTAATGTAGAAATATATTGAGTCCATAATAATACTAATTACAGAGGGTTACTAGGTTATTTTTTATGGCACATTTATTTTCTAAAACAAAAAACATTTAAATTCTGTCTTACCCGTCTCATCTGTATCTTTCTATATATATTATATTATCATTATTATTATCATTATTATTATTATCATCATTATAATTATTATCATTATTACTATTATCATTATTACTATCATCATTATTATTATCATTATTATTATTATTATTATTATCATTATTACTATTATCATTATTACTATTATTATTATCATTATTATTATGTATTATTATTTATTTAATTCCAGTTGTTTTTATCTATTTTTCATACTTTTCTTTATTCATTTATTCACCACCAGCCGGCAGTGTCTTGTTTGTAGTCTCCAGTGAAAGGCTGTTTAAATAAATAAACTACACTCCCCATGATGCATTGCGCAGCGGTCCGTTGCCATGATACAGCACTCAGACGCTATCAGACGTTGCTAACAGCCGTTGATGCAGATTTACGGAGTTTATAGCGAATGTAACGTGTTTAAGAGACTTTTAAAACACACACAAAGGGTTAGTTTATCCTTACAGGTGATTTTATCCGAGCTGTTTTCCGTTAAACCGTGGTTTTGTCGCCGTGGACGGATTTAAGGCCTCCTGTGGTTCGGTTTGTGTTTAGCTTGTTATGCTATGTGGCTAATCGCTAAACATAAATAAAGGGATGTTAATGTGCTTATGACTTAATCAGGATACAGAAAAGAAGGTAACTATATTTGATTATAATTACGTTACAAAAACAAGCAATCAGATTACTGTTACATTCTTTAAAAACGTGGATTACGAGCACTCTTACGATACATTTTGAAATACAGATATAGATATTAAAGGTAGACGTAATGCCTTCATTTCCGTTTTGCTTTTTATTTCGGCTACTTCCATTCTTTGAGTTGTTTAATGCAGCACATGGACACCTGATTTATGAAACAAAAACACTGTGTTTCCTTGAAATTGAAGCTTAAAATCAAACAGCATTATAGTAGTCTGTGTAGTCTTGCCTTCATTTGAGATGACACTCATATCTCAAGTATAAAAAACACTTATGTTGTGTCTTGTATAGATATGTACAAAGTAGCAGGAAATGGAAATACTCAAGTAAAGTACAAGTATATACAAGTTTATATGAATGGTCTTTATTTGAACTGCTGGTATATTGAAAAGGAATACTTTGTTTTTTTAGTAAATTAGTAATATTATCCCATAATTTTTGCAACATCATTTTTGTTCCTTTCTGTAATAGATTATTATACTACTTATTATATTTTGTATGTATTCTTTATTAGAGCAACTGTCACATTTCAAACCTTTATTTAACCAGATGGTTAACCAGAGCAACTGTCACAAAACCACATGTTCCCATAGGATACAAATCGGCTTTCATTTGTAGCTTGTGAATTTACTCCAGGTGGAAATAAAGTCTGATTTAAGACTTGATTATATTTCACATCATTCATCCAGATCTGTAAAGTAACTAAAGGTATTAAATACATGTAGTGGAGGCGAAGTACACAATTTACCTATGAACTGTAGAGGAGTAGAAGTAGCATACAATGTAAATACTCAAGTAAAGTACAAGTACCTCTATAGTTGTGCTTAAGTACAGTACTTGAGTAAATGCACTTCCCACCTCTGCTGTTAAGCTACTTCTTAGCTGTAGATTGGTTTTGTGTTGACTGTAGTGTTAATACTTATTTCAGAGACCCAGCAGGAGAAGGAGCACTGAGAGCAGCATGGAGGAGAACAAAGAGACCCCCAGACCTCAGGTCAGTGTTCACTTCATCACAATATATTCCTAACACTGTTATCCCTTACACTGGGGTACATTTGTGTTATTTAAAGGAGACATGTCATGCTTTTCCGGTTATTACCCGTCCCCTTGTGTGTTATGAAGGTTTTTATGCATGTAAACGGTGTGCAGAGTCAAAACCCTCAAAGTACACCCTGTAGCGAGTAAAACTCTAACACAGAAAATACCTCCCCAAAACGCATCGTTGGAGATACGTCATTGTCCATTTGATTCTTCCGGGTACGGGATGATGTAATCCCGTACCCGGAACGAAATGGACCAATCCGTGGAGCCGTTACGTTAAGCCCCCGCTGATTGGTCCAAATTGACCAATCCACGGACTTCCTCACACACACACACAGTGCAGGCAGCTCTGCTGATTTCTCCTCCCTGGCTGCAGGCTGATAACAGACAGTTGGGATTCTCTCTGCAGACCCATTCTCTCTGCAGACCCATTCTCTCTGCAGACCCATTCTCACAGCGTTTATCAACCTTTTTCTTACTCATTATCAAGCCACACTTATTGTTTTTACTTCGGCTGTGACTTTGTGTGTGCTCAGGATGAGTTTGGCTGTGTTTCGCTGTGTATCGCTAAACAAGGAAACAACACCTCCACGGAGCTCAGCGCGATTCACAACGTCCCGACCAATCAGAGCACACTGTGCTCACAGGGAGGGTGGGGGCTGGAGCTATTGGAGCTACAACGAGCCGTTAAAGGCAGAGAGTGAAATTCAGTGAATACACGTAGTTTACAGAGATGCTGTATGAGAAACCAATGTGAGTTTGGAAAATTGCACAATATAAATCTATTCTAGTAGACCTCAACAATGGAATTATGATCAGTGGAAATGGCCATGACATGTCTCCTTTAAGGACTTTAAACCTGTACTTTTATTTAATGAGAAAACAAACTTGAACATTGTGGGGTTTATTTGACAGACTCTCATATTTAGATATGGGTTCAGGTGTATAACGCCAGTTTCTAAGCAATCTTTGCGATTTATAAAAAACAAACTTGACGGGAAAATGTGCGGTCCTCCACGCAAACTCTGAAGCCATGAGTACGCGCTACGCACAAACACGGGAGAGACGAGAAACTGCGACACCGTTGGCAGAAGGGAGAATGGAGAGAAATATGTTTAAATAATACCATGAATAAAATATTACCTCTCATGTATCATATATGAAGAATTAATTTTCAAAAATGGATTAAAGCCAATCTTAAAATTATTAAACAAACGCCGCTTTGAGACTCCTCAGTGCACACAAAAACATAACTTGGAGAAATAAATAAATACGGAAATGTTATTGAAAACTACCTCGAATATGTTATGTATTCTCATAAATGATGCGGTAAGCAGAAAAACAGAATTACTTTAAACTGACGCCGTTTTGCTTTTCTATAGGTTGTATATAGGTTGTATAAATACTTGATAAGTCGCTCGTAAAACACAGGAGGTATGGAAACTAAGAACACCATAATGTCACTGTCAATTGTACAGCTAATATAACACAACACATTAGTTGTATTTCCTTTAACTGGTGGATATAGAGTTGCTGCGGGGAGGGGTTAAGACGCACAGGCTGCAGTGGAGACGCTGCGCACAGCTAATCGACAGCTGGAACACAAACCACGAAAGAAATCCAAGATCCAGTCGTCATGACTCCACTCCGGAGGGATTCCCCCATAATTTCTTACAGTTTCTCATCATAGGGGGGTCTCCTGTCCCCGGTACAAATACACTGACACACTGCCTGTGGAATGTTATGTGTATTTTGTAATTCACTTTTTTCGGACCACTTATTTATTTATTTTGGTGACGATCCGACCTCCATGCTGCTACTCTGGTTCAAACTGCATCCACCAAACAATGTGATTTGTCTTTTTTTAGCTGTTCTGTCGTCATTTCCTGCGATCTTCTTCATGCAGTCAGTCAAAATGAATATTAATAAGGGGCGTTTCTTTGACTATGTATAGGCAAATATGGGCGTTACGTGAAGCCCGCAAAAGCTGCGCCGCATTTTGAGTTGATTGTGATTTATAAAGGGAAACCGGCGTAGGACGTGCGTTCGCAGTGTTTTTTAAATCGGAATATTCTTGTCCTCTCCTGCTGATGTTCAGGTGTATATCAGTATGTAGTGTCTCTACTTTAAAGAGTCCTCTCCTGCTGATGTTCAGGTGTATATCAGTATGTAGTGTCTCTACTTTAAAGAGTCCTCTCCTGCTGATGTTCAGGTGTATATCAGTATGTGGTGTCTCTACTTTAAAGAGTCCTCTCCTGCTGATGTTCAGATGTATATCAGTATGTGGTGTCTCTACTTTAAAGAGTCCTCTCCTGCTGATGTTCAGATGTATATCAGTATGTGGTGTCTCTACTTTAAAGAGTCCTCTCCTGCTGATGTTCAGATGTATATCAGTATGTGGTGTCTCTACTTTAAAGAGTCCTCTCCTGCTGATGTTCAGGTGTATATCAGTATGTAGTGTCTCTACTTTAAAGAGTCCTCTCCTGCTGATGTTCAGGTGTATATCAGTATGTAGTGTCTCTACTTTAAAGAGTCCTCTCCTGCTGATGTTCAGGTGTATATCAGTATGTAGTG